CCACGTATGTTTAGGGTGGGCCATCGCGTTTTACTGTTTTCTCATAATATTTTATGTGTGGTTAACGTGTACCGTGTACGACTATCACTACAGTTGCCGAGTGGTGCAGGCCCACCACCTTGTGTACCATCGTGACAATCAAATATATGACACTGTCTAAGGTTCGAAAATAAAACAGATAACTAGCAGTCAGCCGAAATCCGCTCAAGTCGTCTAAACGTAAACTGTGGCGTGACGTGTTACATGCTCGAAATCCCTTACAGATACGCATATATTCTATCCGATATAATTGTTACACGGAGACAACTGTCATCTGTTTACCGCGATGTGAAATAATACTTTAATAAGAACGATGCGATGAGCTTTTAATATACTTGGCGAAGCTGCAAAACACTTGAGAAATTTCTTTGGCATTTAACGTTTCTACAACGCGTCCCACATAATATCAGATATACTTAATAGCAGGGCTGGCCTGAAGGATTTTGCCGTCAAGTGCCATTTAAAAATTATCTACAATTTAAGTTATAATACATTTGCATAACAACTAATAAATAACTAATAAATATAATTGTTATTGAAAAATAAACTAATCTAAATTAAAATACATAAATAGAACTGTTTAAAAAAAATTATTTTCATACTCATTATATAAAATTAATATATAATAGTAAATAAAGTTATATATATGGTACATGATAAGTACATTCAGAGAAGTTACCTATTGAAAATCCATTTTCCTTGCTTCAGAATTAGCAAAGTATTTTACAATATCAACTTCATTCAATTGTTCTGCCAATTAATTTTTAATTTCTATCATAGCTAATCCACTTAATCTATCTTCAGACATGGTTGGCTTTAATTAATATAGCTTGAAAAGTTTTAGCTTGGAAAAACTACGTTCTCCACTTCCTATACCGTTACTCTTAATTTTAAAAGTATACGCAGCGATGTGCGTACACGCATTCTAGCGCAGTATTCGGTATTTATCACACATTTTAATAGTTCTATTAGATATAAATTTAATTCAACCATTGTCGTCAAAACTGTTGACGAATCAGCCGTTTCAATCTCATAAATTTCGGCGGAATAACTATCCGGTAATACGAGTTTTAAATCTGCACAGGGTTTTATAAATTCATCACGTCCATTCTTTTGGTTTTTTCAATTTCATACAAAAATAAAGATATATTGGTATGTTCTTTTAATTGTTCAAACCTTTCAGTAACACGATTAATAGCAACGCCGACTATAAAATTAAAAAATTAACTTTCGAATGAAGTGTAGGGTCATTTATTGGTACATTCTAAGTATCTTACATATAATAATATACCTAATAGCTTAATACTACATATTCGTTTATTATTATTTATACTATATTATACTGAAATACAATATAAAATATAATAAATCAGAACCTCGGTCAAAACCCCGTTATCTCGTTATTTTTACAGTCGTAAATCTTGATAGACAATATAATTATTATGATTATAATATTAAATGAAAAATATCTAATGCAGTTATTGTTCACTCATGTCACCGCGGTAAATAATTGAATTTTGCTCTTTCGGTAGGTACATACATTGCTTAAGGGGTTTTAAATAGGCAATTTCAACAGAATATTAAGAAAAATTGGAGTCGAACAATTTAAAGTTTGTACTATTGTCAATAGTACCATGTAAATTGCATGCTGTATGTTCTGTTTTGTTATTTCAAATAAATAATCGACTAAAAATTGATTTGTGAATACCAATTAGTACCTACTACTCGTATTTCATAAACATTTTTATCAGCCACAATAATTGGATGACTTAAGGCAAATTTATCAGCGATGATTTTTTCATTTTTTTTTTTTTTTGTAATCTAGACTCAATTATTTTGTATGATATAGTTGTTGGTACAAAAGCGGAAAATTGTTTATAAATCAGTTATTCAACTCAAATATTATTTAAATATTCATACCACCGTATATTTTTTTATGCGGCATGTTGGGGGCGACGGATGTACCTATTTCAGTTTTTTTTGTGTAATCAATACGATAATGCAGCTTGGACGTGAACGTTTATAATAATATTATAGCCATTTGATTTGTTTAAAGCCGAACGACCACGTGTCATATCGCCATCGTTATTCATTGCCTGTGATTTTATTTCATTTTAAATTTTTAACACACGTGTGTGCGACGTAACCGGAGGCTCATCGCTGGCGCTAAAATAGCCAACGCATAATATAATGTATTTTTATATTGTTTTAGTATCCGTACATCTGTCACTTTTTATGGGCGTCCGCATGTGCGTTTTGAAAAGGGACGATACGGAAGGTATAAATCGTGCGAAGTGGGAGTGGGTCCGGTTTACGAAACAAAAAACAAATATTAATAATATTTTCATATAAAATAACATTATCCGCGGGAGTTGCAAAGTGCAAAAATCAGCGTTTTCGGGTTTAATGTCTGTGCACGAGTTCGGAACACTTTGTCGTCGTTGCATTTACACGTTGTGTACACGTATATATTATACATCACTACCTATTTATTTAATGACGGTCGATCGCGAAACATAAAAAATAAAATTTACAAGTGTGCGAAAATTGCAACCGACACAAACACAAGTTTGTACCTACATATAATATATATGCTAGTAAATATCTGTACGGGATGAGTCGTCTCGTGTTTGTAATCGCCTACTATACAGAGTGACTTTTTAGGCATGTTCACCACCATTTTCCCCTTTATTAGAACATTTATTAAAATTCTGATCTTTAAAATTTTTAAGTATATACTTAAGACCATATTTTTTTATACATTTATAATACGTAAGGAGTGTTTCTTATTGTGATACAAACTTATTTTTCAAATGAGAACACCCTTTTTAGTGCAAATTTTTTAGCTTATTTTTTTCTGAAAATTCTGTCGAAACTAAATCAAAATTCTAATTCTATTTGTGAATTAGGTATTAAAATGTTCATACTAAGAAAATAATCCTTAAAAATTGTTTCATAATAAATAAAAATACAAACTGTTATAAGTACCTATATAATATAAGATAATATTGTTTATATAGATATATTTTACAAATTATTTATATTGATATAGATCAATAGTAATTACCAACTTTTTCAAATTGTCAAATCCCCCATATTTACTTAATCCATTACCATAGATAGAGTATTATCCTTAGCTAGTACACTAAGTTATATACTCAAAAATTATTCGCTCGAATTTTGATTTAGATACATCAAAATCATCAAAAATAATATCTTATTAAAAATGAAAAAGAAGGTTTTTATTTAAAGAACAGAAGTTTGTATTGTCACAAGATCATTCTTAAGTGGTACAAAAAAATCTCAAAGATTCAGAAATATGGTCTTCAAGTGAATTTAAAAATTTAAAATATCAACATTTTAATATATGCGTAATTTAAGCATAAAATAGGGCAAGTATGCTTAAAAAATCATCATGTGTATAATAATATTAATAACACATAATACTCATTATGTGTACCTACTCCAGTACATGGCCAATAATTTGTCTCAGTCGTAGATTCCGAGTGATTCCGAGCAGTACACAACGAATAGATTCCAATTTTTAATTAAAACGAAATAAGTCATCGGTGGTGACTATGATGTTCGACTGCTAAACTGGGGCGAGAGACAGGGTCGTTCGTGACGTTAGTAAATATTCAAAAGAGCGATAAAAATGAATGTTGCACTTACTATCGTTAACTTGGGTTTTAGGTCTTATATGTCCATCACGGCTTTCGTATAGATAGAGTAGTTGTGCTATACTTTCCAATAATTATTGTGCCATTTCCGTCGGTTTTAATTATTTACATTTGACTTACCTTTTAAAAATATACCATAGGTTCCTATTTAAGTTTTGAATTATTATATTGAAACGGATTTGTGGAGTTTTTTCATCTTCTTAGTTCTTAGTCATCATTGACAAACGCTTTTGTCTTAGATTTTGAAGTGCGATAGAATATTAAAAATAAATGTAAGTGTCTACAAAAATTAAATTTAACCTAACTTTATATTCCTAGAAGGACTATTGTACTTGTCGAAAATGACACTACATAAATCTTCATTTTTAAAAATCGTTGAAAATAGCAGTTAATCATCATACCAATATAGGTACTGAATATAAAAATATATTATAATTATATAGTGTACATTTTTTTTTTATTCTCAATAAAACGTGTACTGTCTTTAATGAACGTTTTAGTCTACACGCCTTTATGACTGAGAGGTATCTACGCACTATAACTTTAATATTGTACTTACTACCATTTTGTTGGCGTTAATTTAATAAAATCGTCCACGCGTAACGTGACTTGTACATTATACCTATTTCGTTTTTTAGCAAAGGCACTGATGGTTACGTATTATTATGAATTTTTTATTGCACGTCAAATGACATGCTTTTAAAGATTCAGTTTAGTGTCGCTTCGGACGTTATATAATCAAATTCGATTACATACATATATTATACACTAATCGATACAAAATCAAATCTTTTATTTAATTTTATACACCCGCCACGCCATACTTATGGTACAATATTATATAGAAACAGCCAACGAGGAAGTATAGTTGAGCGCAGCTCCTCGTCGTTTGGGAGTGTGCCTTTCTCTGTATTCGTTAAATATTTGCGACTTAAAAGTTACGATATTGTAGTCATAGTCACAGGGAGGGTATTTTTATTCTACTGTTGTAATCTCTTTGTACTTAAAAATGCTTTACGTATTTTAGCTCTAATATATTATTATATTTTTAACGAGTTTTGTGCACGCTATGAAACGTTCGATCAAGAGGCTTATTTCTGGAGAGCATATATTTTATTTTATACCGTTTATAATATACTTATATTTGACTATAATAATGAGCCCTCCAGCCGGCCAACAGTCTTCCTGTACATAGAATATAATTAATTTGCTGTGAGCATATTATTATATTGGTTGTTTAAATAATATCTTCATTTCAACATTACGTTGTCTTATTTGCAGGGATCGTATTTAGAGACCATACATCCGATCGATGCGGTAAGAAATTTGAAGAAACGCCCTGAAATCGGTCAACGAGTTCGTCTCAGTGAAGGAGATATAGCCCAGACGAAGCTTTTGTACAAATGTTATAGTAAGTAAAACAATACATTATTTTATTTAATTAATATACCTTGGCTGACCTCCGAATTGAGACATATTATGCTGTATAGGCAACTGATCTTACATCGATGTTTTGTTGAAGGCGTAGATGTATATATTATAGGTACATACACAACTTAAAAAGTGTTATTCTATGATTGGCTATACTGGTAAAATATTATTACGAAAATACTTTTTACACGTCAATTAATTTTGCAGGTTGAATTGATATTAATATATTTTAAAAATACGAATATCGTCAAAACGAGATAATAGTATACAATGTATAAATATAGTTACAATATTATATAAATATTATTCTTATATTAAAATAGTACACTTAATTTTAAACTAAAATATAATATTTAGGGTTCACTGATTAAAAAAAAATGATCACATTTTTTTTGAACTTTCATTTGAGATATGCATAAGAAATTATTCACTGGATATATAAATCACTACCTAGAGTTAGTGAAGGAACTTTTTAGCTTTCAATTTTTCATCAATAATAACTGTTTAGAATTTAGTATCCTTGCATCGGTGGCTTATGTCATCTGGGAAAAATCTCAGCAATGTTATCTGTATTTACATTTTTAATAATAGGATTTCGATGATAGTATTATATTTGGAGGGTTATTATTTATTACGTGGTAAGAAACTTGTATATGATTCGATGGCAGGTCCGAGCCTGTATGAAGCTGGCTGTGTAATTTTCAGTAGGCACAGGTTGCAGACATCGTTAGAGGTCCAAGCAATCATTATTTATTACAATATATCTATTATGATGGGATGGATTAGAACGCTGAGATTTTATGAATACAATGTTAAGGCTTAGCAGAACTTTCTTATCTGTAACAACCACTTGTCAATGTACTTAAATAATGTATAAACGAGTTCTGAGAAGCAATACGTACGATTATACTATAGCGTTTATAAAGGAATAATTTGGCTACAAAGTCTAGTTATATTATTATAATTATAAAGTCATTCAATCTGAAATATATCATCAATGATAATTTATTATGTTATGACTTATGAAGAAACATTATATTATTATCATGGCTCAGGATTTTATGCATTTGCATATTTGTTCGGGAAGTAAATAGAATAAATCTGATCCGGTACAAATTTGTGATGTGGTGTTTGGAGTTTAAGTTTAAAAGTTTACTGTGCATATGTTTGCATATTTTGGAATTTTTTCTACAAATGCATATTTTTAAGATTTATTGATTTTTATTGCATATTTTAAAATAATGTTTGATTATTTACTCTTAAATCAATTTTTTAGTAAATTAATTTTATCTACATGATTTTTTCGACAATAATACCGATAAGGTGATAATCAATAGCGTTACGGAGAATCCATTTTATTTTTAGCTCTGAGGACAAAATAATTTTTTTTATCTGTCTTTTATAGTATTATTTTTTTTGCCAGTCCATAGTGATCGACGGACAACGATCGCTATCGTGTGCATTTATCGTCAATCGGTGTCGTGTCGTATTTGTATTCGTTATTTTTTGTATTTATTAGCGCTCGTATTTGTGGTATAATAAGCCAAAAGAAAAAAAAACACAAATTAGTCGGTTGAGAAGTTTAATTTTGGAATTTGGGGATAATGTATTTTCCGCAGACGGAAGTATTTTATTTTGCAAAATATGTGAAATTAAAGTTAAATATGAACGAATAATACAACATACACAAATAGTAAAACATATGAAAATGATTAAACAGAGGGAAATTTTCAAGACAAGAACCCAGCAAATAATTGCCCAAACTAATACAACTTAATTTTAATTATAAAATTATTATTTTTTATTACATAAAAATTTTAATTGCTATGTAAAGAAGATGCTGAGTGTTAAAAAATCCAATTTTTTTTTATAATACAGTATGTATAAAATATAAATTTTTAGTAATATGTACAAGATATGTTTTTTTAACTTCTTTTTTAATTAAAAATAAATGCACATTTAAGCGCATATTTTGATATACCCATATGTATACTCATATTTTTAAGATTTTAAGCACATAAAGTCCCAAGCCCTGATTATAATATAAACCGTTGTGAAATATGTTTGAAGATGCCAAGTTCTCTATAATAAGCTGAATTATTATATTAATCAATTAATGGTTTAAAAGTAATCAGAAATATTTCATATGATTGTTTTCGGAGCTTAAATCGAAAGCCACAGTATTTTTGTGTAACAACATGTTGGATTTTGATTTTCTATTCAAACGATGAGGCGTTTTCCGAGAGGAACAATAATTATATTTAAAGTGGCTGAATGAGATATGTAAATCTGTATCTTTACTGCTTTTTATTGTTTTCAAGGATGTGGAAAGACCTTGCAGGAAAACAGTGGCATTTTCGGTTATTCGCCTGAACCTGGGCAGGAGTACGGAGACAGGTGCGAATGGCGTATTACAGCCACCCACGGCGAACGCATTGTGCTTAATATCACTGAACTCGACATATTGAAATCGGACCAATGCAGCACTGATTATTTGGAAATCCGAGACGGGTACTGGCACAAATCTCCTCTGCTCGGTAAGTGTTAATCATCGTCACCATCATCGTATTTTGATAAACTTTCAATTTATATTATACTAATTAAGTGTGTTAAATAATATTGTATATTGTATAGTAAAAACATTATGGAGATCTTTCACCAAGTATTGACTTGATCTTTATTTTGGCTTATTCTCCCTGTGCAGTAATGAGTGTATAGTTATTGCGACATATTGTTTTAAAAGTATCATTGTTTCGTGTGATGGAAACAGTAGAATTTTTCCACTCCAATTACGGAAGTTGTCGCAAAGAGCGGTGTTCAAAACACTAAAAAAAAAAAATGGAATTGACAATTATTTAAAATTTGTAGAAGCAGGTGTACGAATATATATAAAAAAAAAATAATATATAAGTGCACTACTTATTAATATACTCGCTACTGCGTACTAACAGTAGGTACGTTTTCGAAACACTGAAGTTGTATATTATAAGCTAATTATTAATCAAAGAGTTCTTTTAATGTATAATATATTTTATGAAGTAGAAAGCATTTGACGCTGTGTAAATAAACCATTCAGTAAACAGTTCTACTTTGATGAAACGTTTTTGGAAAAAAAAACTTTATACCCAAAAAACATTTTACATTACGGCTGTAGCTTAAGGTTCTTTGTCCGGGAAATATTTATTTTATTATAAGTTTTGATTTTCAAACCAAAATACGAAAATTGTATTTCTAGCCGTAAAATAATTTTCAAAATATAACTAGCTACTTATCATTTTTAGTATAGACATAGAAATTCAAAAAAAAAGGAAGTTTTCTTTTTTATTCACTGCGATGTAATATAAAATGCTCTATTTTTAGTACTTATAGAATGGAAAATCTAATAAAATAAAATAATAATAACATTATACTTTATGTTATTGTAGTTACTATTTACTAACTTAATAGTGAAATAGGTTAAAATTCAAATCATAATAATAAACTTATTTGAGACTTCGTTTCTTAACATTTGTTTTTTCTTGAATTCATTATGTCAATTATTTTATGACTAAGTGTTTTGGTATAATTTGCAGATTTAGGTATTTATTCAAACTTTATTTCCAGGTTAAAGGTATCTACTTACTACTTAAATTTATATTTTTATGTTACTATATGTCTTTAGTATATAAGTTTATTAATAAACTTTATTTTTTTTTTTATACAGTTAATTTATTTTATTAACAAATAATCACAGTGCGCAATTATTACAACAGCACTGTATCGTTGTCTGATCATTGTTTAATTGTATTCTAATCTTGGTATTGTTTTTTTTTTAAAATAATTAAAAAGTTAAGATTGGCAGTATTAAATCAAAACGTGATCGTATAATATTCCAAGACCTCTTACATAAAATATAAATTACAACTGTATTATATTTCGTGCTCATTATTTGTTTGGATCACAAATTAAACTTTCAAGAAATACAAATAATTCTAAATTTTAAGCAATTTATCCAAAAAAATGTTAACTATCTAAGGGGTGTGTATAGTAAGTAATAACCTGTACAACAAGTTGAATGTCTTAGGTAATAATATAGATTTAAATTTCTATTTGAATGAACAATGGATAATAAAACCAAATACTATTCAGTAGTAATTACGATAATTACAGATAATCAGTGACGGTGAAAGGTTTTACGGGGCCCTAGGTAAATAAAGTTTTCGGGGGCCCTAACTTAAGGCCTACACTACCTTTAAAGCTGCATTCCTCACTTAGCGGGACCTATGCATAGTCTGCTCTCCTAGCGTCGCAGCTATTTATAATAAATTATCGATTAATAAATATTGATTGTTTGTTAATATAGGCAGGTTTTGCGGGAGTGTTCGCATCCAAGACCTTATTGTGACTGGCAACAGCAGAATGCTCATCAGTTTTATGATATCTGACAAAGGTACAAAATACAAAGGATTCACTGCGAATTACGAAGGTTAGTGAATATACATTATTTTATCCATTATCATTTGTCTTTTCATAATCTTGAGGGACTTAAAATTATTATGATTAAACACTAAACAGTCGTTAGGAACATTTTCAATCAATCTGTCATCGTCAATATGTTTATATACTCTATTCTACGTATACCCGTTTTTACCAATAGCAAGCATGGCAACTCTCACGAAGAGACCTTATAAAAAGGCATCAGTTAATCAGTTCGCCCTATCTTATTTTGAAGTCAAAGTGAAGGTTTTATCAACACCCTGCAATAATAAAACACATATTTTTCCTCAATCTTCGAAAAGTCATCCTCTGGCTATAATGAGCGAAACTGGTCAAATCAGCCTATGATATTGCTAAATCATTATAACTGATATGTACTATATACTAATGAGTTATGTTTCCTTAATATTCCGTGGTCATTCGTGTTATTGATTTTATTTGTCCGGGAAGTCATCTATTATAATTAAATACTGGATTTCCGATTTATATGTATACATTTTAAATTGGAATATATGCAATGTATTTTAAACTTTATTGGAAAAACAATAAGTAACGATAATACTTTCTATATTTGTCTCTGTTAAATTATAGCTGCGGTTTGTAACAATGTTTATCCTCAGAAAAACTTCGTTCCACATAAACGCTTGTTATGGGTGCATATTTAAACTCGATAACATTTCTACATAAAAATTTTGGATAGAAGAACTTTCGGAGTCGATGTTCTAACCTTAGTCTATTTCAGAATTTACTTTTAAAATTATCAAGACTTTATTTTTATTAACAATTTCAGATATTTTTTTTAATTTATACACTATTTTCATTTTCAAAAAGATTATTGATAAAACTTGTTCAGCAATTTTTAAATCTCAATAGGTACAAAACTGAAGTCTCAGTTTTTCTAATTCTTTCAAAAACAATCATAATATTATAATTTTCCCGAGTGCAATATGCAAAAAGTTCGTAATTGTATTGTTAAAAAAAACAATTTATACTTAGCCACAGCTTAGATAATTTAAATATGTTAAGTCAGAAAATGTCTAAATAATTGAAAGTTGCTCTTACCTACAAAGTCTAATAATAGTAGAATTATAATTATAACCCTAAACAATTGAACTTCAATTATCCTCTATAATTTTTTTAATTTGAAATTTTACTCTAAGATCACTCAAAAGTCATAAAAAACGATTTTAGGTGGAAGCGTTTTATCTGTTGCGCGTGGTTTGTGAGAGAAGACAAATATTATGTTGACTTCATCTTTACTGTGTCTGTTTCGGGACATACATGTTGATATTAAAACGACCACTTTATTCTTTTCTTATTTACTTATAGCCGTTTGTGGAGGAGAAGTCATGGTGACTGACGAACAAGGGCACTTGGAATCTCCCAATTTTCCAGACGATTATTTACCGAACAAAGAGTGCGTTTGGAAACTTACAGCACCAGAGGGATACCAAGTTGGATTGAAATTTAACGTATTCGAGGTATATTTTTATGTTATAATTCTGGTAAAACTAATTTATTACCGACTCATCTTAACTGTCCGAAAAGAATTAAAAAATAAAAGAATAAATACATTTCGAAAACCATTTGGTTATAATAATATACTCGATGATTAATTTTTTTTAAGACACTCATTGTTAATGTTTTTGAAAATATTTGTTTTACATAATTTAAAGTATTTATTAACAACATTTTTTATTTTTACTATTTCGTATTGATAAAATGTATTTTTGATTCCTTTCAAAGCAAAATATTTTTTGGAGTGCTTCAATAAATAAACATCAAATTTTGGAAGATTAGTATATGAGTTTTAAGTATTTAGAGCCGGGCGAAGAGATACAAGAGTTGTTCCGCTACTTCACTTATCTAATTTTTAAACACATATGACTTATATTATAATTTATAACTAATGGGTAAGCTACATGTCCAAAATCTGTTTTTTATAGATCAAAATACTCCAAATAATATTCTGTTTTAGAATAAAGAATTAAAGTACATGTTATTCAAAAGGATAAAAAACTTAAAAATTATCGCAATAAAAATAGTTAAAAATATAGTTTTTTCCAAAAATTATGTTATGTTACGACTTCAAATACGTTAGTGTTTTATGAAATTATGCATGTCTTAGGTAGGTATGTAAAATGGATCATTCTAATGATTAGTCTTCGTCAAACAGTTTTCGAAATGCATTAATTTTTTTAAATTCTTCTCGGACCATTAAGTTATACATATAGGTATTTATTATTATTATGTATGGTAAAAAATCTAACGTACAAACAGATAATTAAACTCAACTTCAAATTAAAATAACATAATATTAACAAATGATACGAAAAGTAGAAATATTATATGTAAATAAAGTAAGAAATTCAATTTGTAGAACATAAAGCCAAAAATACATTTACTAATACTATACAACTTAATAACATCACGTGACTTAAAGAAAATATTAGTATAAACACTAAACAGAAATTTGGTTCGCTAATAAAAGAACATTAGAGAAATAAGATGAGGTACCTATAATTATTGCTTCAAAACAGAACATAAAACAAATTATTTTTCGTTTGGCTGTGATACCTACATTTGAACCAATCTATAATAGTAATTCGGGTGAGTCAAAATTGCCATTTAATAGATCGTATACAAACATGACATCGAAAACTTTTCTCCTTATCTCATGTAATGAAATTTCTAGTGGGAAACTTGAATCCTTAGAAATTGGCAAATTTAGTTTATAACAAATTATTTTGTAAATATACATTTTAATATACCTATATATTATATACTATATAGTATATAGTTTAGTTTTGTGACTATTCTACTGACCCAAATTCAAGGTTAAATCTAGTTGGCAGAAAGATAAAAATATAATATATTAAAAGCTTTAATATTTTCGAAACATATTTGTATTTCATTTTATATGCCCTAACATTTTGAAGTCTATATTATTAGGACGTCTTGAATTATTAATGTTTAAAGACAATGACATATTACTCTCCAATAACATTCCTAAATCCTAATAGAAATAAATCTTGATATTATTCAATTATCAATCTTGTAATTGTATATAATATAATTATATGAAGGATTAAAAGTTATAACACTTATTAGCATTTTAATGGTGATAGTAGTTTTTATGACTCATAATTTAATAAGCAGTAGTCTAAAAAACCATGTGTTTACCATAATGAAATTAAAAAATAATAATTAACGAATATTTTGTATTTATTGTAGTACATTTTATTTATTTTAGAGCGAAAAAAAATTTTCCCTTGGTTTTTTTTTCGAATACCTAGATGAATGTTTTGTTTCATATTGACCCTACTCTTCTCGTGTACCACAATTGTCAATACATAATATTATGACGTGCTTTATTAGAAATCTGGAGTTACTGATTTTCTTCCTAGTAATTATTGCAATTACTGAGCAGTATCTCCAACGAAATTCAAATGGTTAGTTTAAATTATGTAAATTATATTTCTATTTATACCATGTTCAGCTTTACAGGAACTTGATAAGGAATAATTTTAAATTTTAAACAAAAAAAAAAATTACATTAAATGTGTTCTGACTTTTGTGTGCTCATAAAGTTATGTTCTAGAATAATAAATATTTTAAATTATACGATATTACATGTTAATTTTTATATTAAGTAAATTTGAGTTTATCTAATATTAAAATATACATGTGACTACATCTTATTTAAATACCTAGGTAACATTTTAAAGCACATATGAATCAATGTGTACTTACTGCTTTTAGTCACATGATATACAAAGTTATGAAAAAACTTTTTTTGTGTTCAATAGTTTTCTCGTATAACATAATAAAATAACATACCATACATCAGATTCTGAGTGGAGCGATGAGTATTGATTTTACGATGATGTGTTTTTTTTTGTGCCTGACATCACCTTTTGGGGCAGTAAAAGTGTTTCGATTTTCTTCAACAGCATCTTTTCTTTTAGGAAAGTGACTTTAGCTTTTACTTTAGGGGGGGGGGAGGCAAAAGTAAAAAATGTCCAATAGTTTTCAAAAGCGAGATGAAAACAAACAAAATTGAAGGAAAAACTGGAATTTTTACAGAAAACCGGTTTCCGACAAAATTGTTTTTGGTTTTTAATGTTACTCTAACAAAAACATACCGTAGATATATGAAATTCTCACTGAATGTTTTTTTCAGCACATACCATACAATTTTCAAAATATTTTGACTCTTATTGAACTATTTATAGGCATATGACATTTTCGATTATTATTAGTTTTTTTTTTAAACTAATGTTTATAAAAATCTTTCGAATGATCTAAAAACTTGAAATTGTAATGCAAGGTTCCTCGTAAGTTGTTGTTAGTTGAAATTTAAAAATAAAATGTTGATAAAATTCTTAAACAAAAATGTTTTTATTTTATATCGAAGATTTTAAAATTGGAAACAAGACTCTTTATAAGCGTACCTATATCTTGTCTAAGTTAAATTTTAATGAGCGTTGAAATGTTTAATCATTGGAGATTCACTGATTTCTCATGTAGCGATTTGCATGTTTTGTTGTAATTCAAAAACGAATAACTGTATAGATTTACACCACATGTTTATTTTATTAATTTATATACGTGATAAAACTTTCAAAATATTTTTACTCGTTTACTACAGTTTACGGACATTTTTAACTTTCAATTGTTGTAGTTTTTATTTTCTATAAATGTCAATAAAAATTGTATTTGTTGAGACAAAACCTTGAAAATAAAATACAAGGCATCTGATATATTGTACAATACCAATTGAAAAATATTAAAAATAAATAAGTACTGTTTTGTTCTATGAGCATTTAAAGTTCAAATTTCGACAAAATATATCAAATTGAAAATGTACAAATTATTTTGTAGTTGAATATGTATACAATGCTCCACTTTTATAGCTAATGATCAAAAATGTAAAACAAAGTTATACACAAGTGGTAGTTAATTTTGTAATGAAAAATCTAAAAAATATATAAGCACAGTTTTTTATAATTATTGTATGTTCAAATTTAGACGAAATTACAGATTATTAAATAACCAAGAATAATGATTTAAGATATTTTGTTGTAATTTAAATATATTATTCGTGCCTACCTACTTGAAAGTTGTAAAGTTTATTATTATACTTTATACACACAATGACTTTTCAAATGTAACTTTTTGGTGAAAATGAATCTAACCTACCGTGGTGACGGACGCAATTTCAATGAAAAAAATTGTTGGTGCTGAAGCCCTTAATTTTTTTTTTTATATTAACTTATGATTGTTAAAAAATATTAATTAATATGAACAAATTTGGGGATGATAAGCACCGCCAAGCACCAATCAAATTGCGCATATAACTGTAACACAAATACTTAATAGTAAAATGAATTTCTTTATTCACAATAACATCATAAAATATACTAAATAACTAAGTAATATTGTAGCCTGACAAACAGTCTCCGCTTAGAACCATATTTTGTATAAAATGATTTTATATCATTGAATTCAAATTTACACCATCCATTACAGTGACCCACTTGTAACTTACTGTACATAATTGAGATATCACTTCCCCGCTTTTTTAATGTTTAAATATTATAATCTTTATACTACGGACTACTTTAGTGCTGAAAATGTATTGTTTTCTGAAGAACTACTTATTTGTAGTTACTGCTTAATGACTTTTGACGGTGCATTAAATCTGTAAGTATATTTGAGCATGTTATAACCTAACCTAACCTATTATCATGTCTTATTCCATCGTTCCAAAAGTCTATTGTTTGGCTCGTAAATTAATAACGTTGAACATCAAACTTTTTTTCTTCCGATTAACTAACGAATCTAATTAACGGGTTTTCATAAAGCATTGAATTCTCGTTCGCAATCAATAGGTACTAACACCATAGTTTCGTATTTATTATTACATATATAGATAGGTATGCATATATATTAGTAAATTGTTGTGTGTGCGCGCGTGAAAACTTGTTCAGTAATTGGATATCCAATCTGTTTATGCCCATCTGCAGACGCATTATTAATAGGCGTATTTTGTTCGCGTCATAATACTTTTACGATATCGATCATAATATTTACTATTATAGTATTATTATTATTATTATTATATAATATATATATAATTCACACCTCTCGAACGAGGCTGCCATCCCTCAAACTTCATTCATTTTGAGTTAAGTCGTTAAGACTACATTCGAATATAAACAAATTTAGCTTTATGGAAGGCGCAAAAACGGCACATTCAGTATAATTTTGCGTTTCGCCTCCAAAAAGATGTGTCAGTATTCCATTATTCAGTTTTTAGATTATTTTTAAAGCAACAGGGCTATGTTCACTTTGTACGTTTGTAAAGTGAAACATTCCCTAGTAGAAACCTCTAAATAATGGACATTTTTTTGGGAACAAACTACAAACTTTCTATAATCTGAACCCTCTGAATAGAGGACATTCCCGAATAGTGGAAACAGTTTTAGTCACCGAGAATGTAGAAGTTTCATTGTAAATACCTATATATTATTTAATTTATTCAATTAATCACCGATGTTAAAATTCAGACTGCTTATTATTTTGATTTGTGGCGTTCTTGTGCCAAATAAAAATTCATTGTCGTGTGATATTTTGATTGGAAAAGAGCAATATTTAATGTTGTAGTGGTACTGAATTTCGTAATTTGTGATATTTCAGTCATAATATGAGAAACATCATCCTTGTATTTTCAATTAAATATTTTTTACGGCCGCGTCTGAAACTATGGCAGTCTTGCATTAACATAGAACATTAAAAAAAACTATAAATCTAAATTTTTGTTTGTATGGATATTTTGTAATATTGTGTGTTTATAAGTATTTAGAGCTTTAATTTCGAATACATCGGGGTAATAAACTCTTTAAAATATCTTGGTTTAAAATTTCAAATAGCTTTTTCTTAAAACTATACATTTTTAAGCTGCTACAGTGTATTGTTCTAGAGATAAAAATTATATTATGTGTGTGTGTGTGTGTGTATGTGTGTGTGTGTATAATTATGTTTTAATCTGCCACAGATCGAAAACCACGACAATTGCTTCTACGATTACGTGGAGATTAGAAACGGACATTCAGCCGACAGCCCTTTGATAAACAAGTATTGTGGCTACAAGTTACCTTTGGACGTCCACTCCAGTACGAACAAACTGTACGTCAAATTTCTGTCAGACAGCTCCGTGCAGAAGGCCGGATTTTCTGCTACATTTATGAAAGGTATATCTACTGTAAATACTAAATGTATACTCGTGTGTCGAGACCTTTTTCGTTTCGTTTTTTTTTTTTTGTCTAAACGGATTGTAAATATAATCAGGTTAAAAAAGTATAAATGTGTCTGCCGTTACTCTGTGTGCGTATGCGTATTGTATACATTATGATACATGCACCTTTACATTATATATGCTTAAAAATTACGATCCCGTTGACATATAGACATACCGTTTACAATTTATTTTGAATTTTTGAATGGATTAATGCTAAATTTAAAAAAATAACCAAGGGATTATTTAGGTGGGATGGTCCCATAGGGCATTCGTTCTTTTGAGTGTTTGTGTTCTAAAAAAAAAAAATGCTATTGCGAATCATTATAATTGCATTTCAGATAACGATTTTGATCATTAGTTGGATTAGATTTCTCTGTTAAAAACTGGCACTCGATTACATTCGTTAGTCTTTTTTTACATGTTCCAGAAAAAAGTGGTAGATAAATCATCACTCTTTTAAAATTTGTGTTCCATTTCTGATACATATTATACCAATATGTATCTTCCATCTGTAATCTGTCTGTCTATCTATTTAGTTTTTCTATATACATAAGAAGTGCCTACTGCCTTAAACCTTTTTAGATCTTTTTCTGCTCAAAAATTCGTTTACTATCGTTGAAAAATCAATAACGAAAAACAGAAATTGGGTTTCCGGGAGATTATGTTTTATATTTGTTAGCCGAATAGGTGAGTATAGTTTTCTATTTCGGTAAAGCCTTTATGGGTAACCAAATATCACAGCTTCCCAGTATTCTCTTACATTTTCACCTCTTATTCTGAACTACAAGTGTTAAAATAGGACATAATTAGTAGCTAATTATTTTATAGTATCTAGTATCTACTATTATATAAATTACAGAATATTATTTAATATTATTATTTTTTTTTTTTAATTAAAAAAAATGTTTTATTTATAATATTTAAATTTTTATCGATAAAAATGTTAGGTTGCTTATTTAGAATATTTATAATATATTCCTTCGATATTATAGTTTTTAATTAATCAATTTTTATAGTTAGTTTTAATAATTTCTATCTAAATGTTTTTCTAAACAATTTTATTTTACAAGCATTAATTCTTTTACAAAAACAATAATTTTCAATTTTGATTCCGGTTTTTACTTCATTTTATTTAAGTTTAAAACATTATAACTCGTTTTGAAAATTTTTCATTTTTTATAAACAATAATAAAGAGATAAAAAAAATCTTAAAATTTACTTTTAAAATATACTTAACTACAATTTTATAAAGTGGGTACTATATTATATTATTTAACGTTTAGTGAATACTTAATAATGCTTCGTTATAATTATTATTTCAGACAAAGAGAGAAATAATTATTGTCAAAGTATAGTTTCCATTTCCATAGTGCTCTTCAAATTAATTCGGCTTTAATCAATAGTAAAATTGAGTTATTTAGCTTTTGATGATAATTTAATCATTTTAAGCACTAATGGCAATGTCCTAATAATACCTCATGGGGTAATTTTTAATATTATATATTTATAAAAAAAGATAGTATATTTTTAATTTTACTGCTTTGCTTCAGTAGTTGTTTCAAGAGTGATAGCAAAGCCCGCGAAATGTGGAAATTGTTGTCATGTATCGGTAAACAAAAGATTGTGATCTAATTTGTACTTATAATTAAAAGTGAAATGAAAATATTTCACGTGTGTTCTAATTAACTTAATACAATATTTCGAAAAACGTTAAAACTTTTGGTGACAGTGAGAAATGAGTAATCAATTTTAAAATAATTACCCTGTATTGTTAAGCTTAGAAGTGTCTTTTAAAATTGTTTTAAAATATTATTTTTATAAAAGATGTAATATTTTTATGCATTTGACATGAGTTTTATTGTATATTAAAATATGGATTTTGAGAAAAGAAAAAACTATAGTATTATGTTCAACAAATATTTGAAAACAATAATTAAAAAACAGAGTTTTGATTTCATTTGTAAATTTAAAAATATACCATTATAATAGTAAAACACCAAAACAATAAAAACACGATCATGAAACGTTTTATTAAAAAATATATAATATACATATACTTCAAGGGAGAAAAATATTCGTTTGCCTGGTTTGCCGACATCCGTGTGTTATTGTTATTTTTCTCCGTCGTTATCGCAAACACAATATATTCATATTATACACAAATTCTGCGTACTGCAGTGACGTTTAGGAAATATATATGGTTTAAAAAAAAATATTTTATTTTTTTTGATCATCAACTTCAAGGACATACCTAGATATTTAGCTTACAAATAGGCTTAACTTCATATTAATATTATACTAAATCATACATTTTATTTTTTTTTCAAGTGAGAGATTATTGATTTGATTTCTGAAAAAGATCTAAAAAACTTAAATATAAAACTTAAAAAATGATTGTCTAGAATGGGATGTTCGTTCCTGGCCTCTGTAAACTATTTGCTTACTGTTCTACAATATTATAATATGCTTAACAATTTTATTAGTATTGCATGTTATGTTGGGCACGATGAAAATTGAGTCTATTCCGTCAGATCTTCGTGATTTGGTTCTATCAAAATTAAATGGAGTGTTCTTTTCATTATTCCCTCAATTTATTTTTCGTAACATCGTGCCATAGATGTTGATATATCCATCTACATATATTATTAATTTCTGTGATAAAAAAAAAAAATAATGTTTTGCTGTAGTATGACAGCCCCTTAAATGAATAATAAAAAACTAATTTTATTTGTTTACCATATCCCATTTGCTGCAGAGTATGACGAATGTACATCGGTGGACCACGGATGCGAGCAGTTCTGCATCAATACGCTGGGTGGATATGATTGCGCCTGTAAGGTGGGCTTTGAGCTACATTCGGACAACAAACACTGCGAAGGTACGTATTTCAGATATTATTATTATAAACGCAGACATAGATGTTTGATGTTATATATTATTTCATATTTTGTATTTCTATATAATATTTTACATTCAATATCGGACCCCTGAGTCATTCGTTTGAAAACCATGAAAGACGGAATTCGAAAACGAACTGTTCGACAATAATATTGTATTTGTAGCAGTTGTAACGGTGGTAAACCGACAGATTTCTTTTTTTCAATACCGTTTTATTTTTGATTATCTTTCTGCATTCAGCTCATCTACGAAAACACTTTATCCACCTTGTGCAATGTGCGTGTCTATAAGAGGGGGGGGGGTGAGTCGTTCACTGGTAAGGGTTTGGAATGGATCCGAGATTACCTTGTCGATTTGCTGCAGACATTATTCGTGATTATTACGTCGCGAACGCTACTGAAACCATAAATTCACTCTCTCCTCTCAGATAAACAATTATTTTACCAGTCCCTTTTTAGTACCTAATGAACTAGTAGCTTTGACAGTTATGCAGATTTTGGGTTTACGGTCATCTCGACTTTTCCAAATGATCTTTTTTTTGTCGTTCTTTATTAATTATTGTCCTTGCTAAATATTTATTTTTAACCAAGGGCCATATTCTCCCAGAGCCTAAATTTACGGTTCCTATAATATTATAGTATATATATACTATATATAGCATTATAGTCTCATAAAAATTCTCAGTTTATTACGACATGCAAAAAATGAGTTATTTTTTCTGTCGGATTATGAAACGGAAAATGAAAAAAACAGTCTAAACAAACCTAGATGATCGAAATCAGTGCAAACATTATGACGGTTATAATTAATTTTCACGAGGTTGACTAAATTTGTGAGAATTGTGTGAATAAAATTCACTCGGCGTCACGTTTCACTTGCGTCCCAATTTCAGCTAATCGAGTTAAAAATATACAGAAAAAGTTAATGAACACTTCTTTTTTCTAAAATAACAAGTTAATTTACCATTTTCGTACCAGCATAATACCGTTGATTAAAATATTTATTCATAATATATTATTTATTTATTTTTTCTATGTAATTATATCAACTATATTATTAAAATCAATGATAATATTATATTCTTATTTTATTTTATGCCTTTCAATAGTAATGTTTAATATCCTTTCAATTTTTCAAAATATTATGAAAAATAAATTAAAAATATCATTGAACACGACAAGTTGGGGGAGGGGGGAGGGATGTAGTATCGACCTAAAATTTAAATGAAAAATTCATATCGAATTGTAAGTTATTATTATGATGATAATAATATTATAAATCATAATTCATCGTGAAATCGTCGTCGATAGCGCGGCATTCTGATTATGCAATATGACAGCATGTATGTGTAGGATGATTTTGGTGGTTCGATTTTTATCCGGCGCTCACCACGGCACTGTGGTCCACAGTATTAAGAATAAATATAAATATTGGTTTAACTACTCTCGAGGCGGCAATATTAATTTATCGACACGGATTGTCGGGGTCCCTGTGGCTGTACATTTGAATCTCGAATGAATAATAACTCGATCACCAACGCTTGAGACGGTTGATCAAAATTCAAAAACATCAAAAACATCAAAATATGAATAAAATAAGTAGAGAAGTAAGAACTGGAGCATTTAAGGTATAGGTACATTCGATGTTCAAATCTCGAAGAAACAAAAAAAGACGCTAAACACTTTTTTATAATAAACCTTGATATATTTTAACTTTATAACTTTATTTGGGGGCCATAAATATATAATACTCATGTTGCACACTTGGTTTTTATGAACAATTTTATCCAAAAATAATTTATTGAACTGTAACGCTTTAGGGTGGCATAAATATGACACAATATTAAGTTATGCACAATGTTCCTCATAAATAATTTTGAATTGTTGCAAATTTTAAAATATTATTTGTGTGATAAAAGTCCTGAACACAAAATGTTAATGATTGTCTACGTATATATTATCCATATATAAAGTTTACATGGGCATACATCATGCATCAAACTATCAAAGTATGATATATTATTACAAAATAGGTGTAAACGCTTTTATTGAAAAAATCAAAATCATAACTTCCAGCAAAAAAAAAACCATTTATAATAATATGCTTAGTATGTTATAATATTGAAGTGATGTATTATGCTTCAATAAATAAAACACTTGTGCTGTATAATATATCAAACACGTTTTGAAGAATCCTGCAAATTACGTGACTTACATAGTTATATGCCCTACGCTAATGTAAATGTCGAAAATACGTATAAAAGAGGTAAAAGTATAAGTAAGGTATAATAAATTGGCATACGGCGTTATCTATATAATTGCATGTAGTGTAAGGTTTATTGTTTTTCCTATCGCTATGTGATTTAAAATTATGTTTGTGTTTTCACATTAAACATAGTATATTAATCGTTAATTCAAGTTTAAAAATTTAATGAAAAAAACAAAACAATATACCATTATAAATTTTAATTTCGTTTTTATTAAAACGCCTTTAGTTTGTCTGAGACACGTGAAGTTAGACCGAGTGAAATAAATGAACATAAAATGGTTTATTTATTTATTTTATTAATTGTTAGTATAAAATTAATTTACTTGAAATTGAGTAAGATTAACAGCAGTCACTTCAACTTGATGATATTGTTTCATAAAATATACTGCAGCTTTAACATGCAATTGCATTAAGCCTTTTTGAAAATGATTTAGATCAACAGCTCGCGTTGAAAAATCAATAAATCAATAAATATTTTCCCTGACATAATTTTTTTCAATAATAATATTCGTTTCATCGTTTGTTAAACATATATTTACATTCAGAATTTTTAAATATAATAATATTGTTCGATTGTTTTTATATTTTGGCAAAAACCATTGGCTCTTATAGGTGTTTGTATAATATATTTATTTTGTTTAATAATTAACATTGACGAGTTTATTTATTTTGCAAATCAACATTTTCAAAAAGTACCTACAATTCTTTTAGATAGAAACTATAATACTAACTTTGACATGAAATATGAAAACCATTATTTGTATATTTTTGTTTACCATGCTTTTGCAGCATTTCAAGTTTCAATCCGTATAATTTTACTTTTTAAGCTACTTAAAAAAAAATTTAAAAATTTAAGCTTTCTATCTTATGCTCCGTAGTAACTATAAGTACTTATTCATTTGAAAATATTTTTCAAAAATATAAATTTAATTTTTGCTTACAAAAAGTTTACCATGTAACCTATTTCTTTTTGCTATGGTTATTTAAGCTTTATGCTTTACATAAATTCCCAGCTATATTATAAAATTATAAAATACCAAATACGTCATCTGACAAAATTTCAGGAAAATCAAGTTAAGTGTATTATCATTAAAAAGTTTATTGAGGATATATCTATAATCATGAAAATATTTATAAATTTGTACTACAATCCGTATAAAATGAGGATAAAATATTTCCTCGAGTGTCTATTTGTGCCAATTTCCGATTGTCCAGAAATGTCACAGGTTCAACATACGTAGAATTTTCAATCAATGTAGAATCAATAAAAAACTTTTTGAGCAATATTCTCCGATAAAAAATGTTGACATAAAAAAAGTCATAAGTAAATAAATAAAAATACTATTATGTAAGACCACATGATAAAATGACAGAGATGAACAAAAAAGTTATAGCCAAAACACGAAAAGACAATATTGCGTAAAGTATTTTAACGGATAAATACAGTCGATACAAATTTCGGTACTTCGGATGATGTTATAACGGAAGTGGGACAAACACGTATTATGCGATTCTGGCGAGTCATAAGCAGCAATGCAGTTTGCTCATGGAGTTTGAATAACTGGTGAAACGTTATTGATGTCACACAGAGTTGAGCAAACTTACGGTTCATAGAAGTCTTGACTCGTGAGTCCTAAAGAATATTTAGTCCACACCGTTTTAAACTTGAGTGAAAACCCAATTGCATGGGCAATTACCCAATTACGAATTACTAATATTTATATTATTTAAACCCATATTATTTTTTCGTATCCAGGCCACATCTCGTTTTCAAAGTTAATACTAAATCGTTTATTTTAATTTTTACATCCTGCATAATATGTAAGAATTTTTTCATTATTCATTACTCTATTTTTCATTATTTAGCAGATATTTTTTTTGGTAAATTCTAAAACAAAATTCGAACCTGTAGTTTTTATAAATTATGTATACTAAGGATGATAATATGTTTATACTTTATTGTAATGGTATAATATATTATACATCATGTGTTTTTCAACATTTTGTATGCTATTTTGTTTGTATAAACATATTTTTCACCAATAGTTATTTGATTATTTTTCAAATTTATTAGAGAAATGCTATCATTCAAATACATATAATACCATATGAATATGAGCATACTGTTAATGCAGTTCAGTTAATCTCTATTAAAAACTATTGGATATTATATTTTATTACATATTCAATTATTACATAAGTGGCCATTATTTTTTCACCGATTCATTTGGTGAATTTTTATTTCAAGCGTTGCACCGCATAGTATTATATACACACATCAATTATTATAATACTGTTGTCGTTATAAATTGAACTTTATTAATTGGTGGAATAATTAAATTCATAATTAGCATAATAATATAATGTTATATAACAGTTGTACATTTATATTTCGTGTGATGTGCCGGTGACATATTTTCAAATCGTTATTATAACCATTGAGTGCCATTAAACAATGCTGATAAGTGATGATAACATGTTTGTCGGTAATTTTTCGTAGCGCGTGTTATTAAAATCAATTTATTGAACGCGTTATATAATATTTTTATTATTGTTCTCTCAAGATAAATAACCATATTGTTTTATTTTTATTGTCGCTATTAACCTATGCCTCTCGTGCCATTAAAATAATATGCATGCAATTATGCAGTGTTATAACAATAATTATTATTGAAAAAAAAATTGTTATTGATTATTGTTAATTTCACAATATTTTTATTTAAATTTTTTATTTCAACAAACAAACAATAAAATGTATCTATTATAAATTTATAACGCACTATATTGTTACATTATTAATTTATCTGCAGAATGTACCTATTTTGTGTACAGTTATACTGTTTTAATATAATAAATAATGGCTGCATACTAGTTGCGGTCATGACGTTTTTTGAGATAAACGGATATAACAGTTGCGGTCACATTAATTTAGGTAATATCTTAGTTGCGGTCATAGCTTTATTATACTCCAATTCCAGGCGAAATCTATAGTATACGATAAACATATATTTTGATATAATGCACACAGCGTATATATGTGGGAACACCACTACTTATCTGTAAAGTTTATAAATAAAATAGATTAAATTGTATACTCCGATCATAGTTTCGAATATTGCTTTCATTGTGCCTACGTCTTTTGATACGGTAAAACATAAAAATGAATTCAAAAAATATGTTGAGTGAAAAATTAAAACCATTACGGGTCGTTAATAATTATAAATTTCGATTTTATCGTACATTAGCGAATGACGTACAACGGTGGGTATGTTGTAAAAAAACATGTAATGCGGCTATAAAGTACGATGTTAATGGTGCCATTTGTGAACAAAATACAACACATAATCATGAACCAGATGATCTTCAATCAATATTACGGCAAAAGGTTAGTAACAGTGTTAAACGTAAGGCAGTCGAGCAGTTTAGTGAGCGCCCTTCTAAAATTATTCATTCTGAGATGTCAAGTACAGCACTAAGTATACTCGACTCAAATGATATTTCTTTGATTAGGAAAAATATACATACTGCACGAATGAATATTTATCCGAAGTTGCCACGTGACTTTCCACAATTGCATGCGACGCTTCCTGACGTAATTAATAAAATACAGACGAAAAATAATGAAAAATGGATTTTTATAAATGATGTCCAGAACAATATAGTGTGTTTTACAACTCAGATAAACCTTGATTTTCTTAAGCAATGTGATTCAATTTTTATGGATGATACTTTTTCAAGTTGTCCTTTTCCTTTTAAGCAACTTTTTGTCATTCATGGATTTAAAAATAGCTCATACATACCATTGTTTTTTTCGTTGTTACCTAGCAAATGCCATAATGCGTACAAGACTGTATTAGATCATCTCAAAAATCATTTATGTGACTATATCCCAAATAGAGTTTTCAGTGACTTCGAACAGGCTATCCACACAGCAATTCAAGATGTGTGGCCCACTACAAATTTGAAAGCATGCCGTTTTCACCTAGGGCAAGCATGGTTTCGCAAAATGCAGTCATTAGGTCTAGCAAAACCATATATGAAACCTGGTGAAATGTCCGAATATTTGAAACTTTTTTTCGGACTTCCGTTTCTACGACCAGATGAAGTTGACGATTGTTTTGTCACAGATATTATGGCTCTTCTTCCAACTGATAATTCAAAATTGACTGCATTTACAGACTATATTTTAGAAGTGTATGTAAGGGAAGATTCGAGATATCCACCGTCATTATGGGCTGAATGTTCGTCTTCCATAACACGAACAACCAATGCATGCGAAAGTTTTCATTCAAAGCTCAATAGCATGTTTTACCACTCTCACCCTAATATTTTTATATTTATTGACGCTTTAAATGAAATTCAAACAAATGGCTATTTAAAAATGAATTGTACAAAAACCAGTCGTGTTAATAAAATTTCAATAGAAAAAGAGCATTTTTTAGCGCAACAAATACAGTATTATGAAGAAGGCGAAATAAATCGACTTGAATATCTAAAGTCGATTTCCTTTAAATTTATACCTACAAAATTTTAAAATTTTAAATTATTATTATCATTATACATATTATATACTATATTTTGACACAAGTTATATAATAATTATTATTTGACAGTATTATACATATTATAATATTATACTTATGCATATTATACTTTGACACAAATTTGGAAAATGTTGATTGATACATTTTATATAAACTATATTATATTATATTAGTAAGCTTGCGGTCATAGCTTTATTATACTCCAATTCCAGGCGGAATTACACGATATACTGTTGATCGATATAATGTTGATTAATACATTTTTATAAATTAAATAAATAAACGAAATATTAATTTCATATTTAATTATTTAGTATATTAACTATATTATATTCTATTATTTAGTATACTTAGTTATTATTATTTGAGTGACCGCAATCAGTATGTAACCTTTTTGATGGGTGACCGCAACTAGTATGTAACCTTTTTGAGGGGTGACCGCAACTAGTACGTAATTTTTGATTATGACCGCAACTAGTACACACCGTAAATAATAACACAATATAGGTACACGAATAACTATATACATAATGTTCGTGGTTATGACAAGTCGGTCTTGAATTCTTAAATCTAGATATTAAACCATGTCGTTTTAATTTTATAATGTATTACATATGAACAAAATAATTATAACAAGAGTAATAAAATATTATTAGAAAATTTTTATAGCAATAAAAATATAATACGTTTTGTATAATACATGTGCTATGTCTAGACGCTTGCGGCGGTATAATCGAAGCTACCAATGGCACGATTACAAGTCCTTCATTTCCAGACCTGTATCCCGGAAATAAAAGTTGCATATGGGAGATCATAGCGCCAATTCAGTTCAAAATCACACTGAACTTTACTCATTTCGATCTGGAAGGAAACAACGTAAGTCAAACTACATCAGAGTCGATCTCAGTTTCGTGTTCCACGTGGACTAACATATTTATTTATTTTTCAGTTACACCAGGTGAGCTGTAGAGCATAAGAAATAATATGTCTGACGGACAGACGCAAGAAAAATATCTCTTTTCGAATATTCTTTGATCGTACTCGGTGCGCTGTCATCAGCATCTTACCTCGTGTTGATGTATTCAGTGCATACTTTCGTAGTTCTCTCGGACCGATCGCTGTTTTATTATTTAGTATGTGACTCGATGTTAACCTTGTTTTTCATTTATCCGTAGGCCGAATGCGAATACGATCGAGTGGAGGTATACAGTAAAATCGGTTCGGACAAACTCCGGAAGCACGGCGTGTACTGCGGTCAAGAAGCGCCGTCCATGATCACTTCGGAGGCGAATGCACTGCGCGTGGAATTTGAGTCCGACAGCTCTGTGCACAAGACCGGATTTGCTGCCGTTTTCTTTACCGGTAAAACACTATGACTATGTGCTATATCAGCTGTTCCCAACGTTTTTTTTCAGAAGTGTCCTTTTGTGGACTAAATCCTGCAGGCCACGGTGCCTTGTTGCGAATACCACGAGAAACATAAATAAAATATGAACACCAATTCTCATTGATAAGATGATGATGATGATGATGTTTAATTCTCATTGATAATCTATTTTTACTATTGTTTTGAACATAATATAATAATTAATAAGTATAAGTACGTTAAGCATACAGCTGACTTACGACTTATTCTTTTTATACTTATAACTTATAAGAAATTACGAAAAATATCTTAAAAAAGAGAAAAATTATTATAAACGTTAATATTATAACTAATGCAGTGTATTTGACTGCTTATTTTTGCAAAGTTTGGCAGTGTTATGTTTTATTTTTGACAACTCTAGTTAAAAGTCAGGTTCCGTATATAGGTGGTTGCGGTATTTGGTTTTAGTTGCAGCGTAAGCCGAAAATCCTGACTCGCGTTTTTATAAGATTCAATTTTAAAATAAACGAAAAATAAAAAAAATATTTTTTATGACCCACGGTGCCCTTGACATATACTCAAATTGTTCTCTTTTTCAAACTTCTGTATCATTATTGTTTAATAACCACCCTAGTACAAAAATAAATATACCTTGTTTAACCACGTGTGCTGTGTTGTTTTATTCACAGACATGGACGAGTGCGCCGTCAACAACGGTGGATGCCAACATGAGTGCAAAAACACACCAGGATCATACGAGTGCACGTGTAACAACGGGTTTACCTTGCACGAGAATAAGCACGACTGCAAGGAGGGTGGTTGCAAGCATGAGATTTCGGCTCCACGTGACGTCATCAGCAGCCCCAACTACCCGGATTCTTATCCGGGCCGGAAGGATTGCGTCTGGCATTTCACTACCACCCCGGGTCACAGGATCAAAGTGGTAATAACGAATTAACAGAAATAATAGAAATAATACCGACAATTGTTTTTATATCATTATTGTATACTTACAAATTATTATGAAATTGTTTGGATTCATGATTCTACTCGTACTTTGCTAATCGTTTGATTGACAAAATTCGTTGAATTTAACTATCTACTGAAATCGAAGATTAAAAAGACACACAACATCGTTTTTGTAATTTTACTACTAATCACAACACGGACGGAGTTTTTTGTAGTTTTAAACTGCTAATCGATGGTTTGGGTAGACACTCAGAATCATATATTGCAATATAATATTATGTTATATTGATAATATAATAAGGCCGTGATGGTATTATTCATTAATTCATATATTTACTTTTATGAACATTTGGTAGATATTTAATTTGTAACGTGCATAATATAATATTATACAACTCAACATAAGTATAAACACACTATTCGCAAATTCTTAACTTAAACAGTTTAAATAAATCTTCTAGTTATACATAGTTATTATAACAGACGGCAGACAATATTATGTCCGAATAGCACAGGTAGACTGCAGCTGAAGTGTACGAAGTTATATACTCGACGTTTCACAATATTTTTCATTTTTAATGGTACACTTATTATTATATAGTTGTACTTAAGGTCATCAGTAAACGCGTGCGGCTTTTATAGCGCGTACGTTTCCGGGCCCCACTGTAGACTGATCATTATCATCGTAATATACATAAAATAGTCGTTATATTATACTATTTTATACAATCTCACAACGTCCTGGGGTATTTATAACAATAATAATAATATCATACGTTTGCGTCAAACCGAATAACATATTATGGTACTATACCTACTTATACAGGGCGCAGGGTCGTCCCAATTTCTGTGATCTTTCGGACCATATATGTCTGTGTTTATGGTGATGATGGTGTTGATGTTGATGATGATGTTGATGTTGATGATGATGATGATGATGATGTTTGATTATAATATAGCTCTTCGATACTTTCGAAATGGAACCGCACCAAGAGTGCGCGTACGATCACATCACCTTCTACGACGGGCCCACGCCGGATTCCCAAACGCTTGGACGGTTTTGCGGCTCGAAGATTCCGCACCCCATAGTATCCTCGTCCAATCAACTGTACTTGGCATTCAAAAGCGACGCTTCAGTGCAGCGTAAAGGATTTTTGGCTACACATAGCACGGGTATGACCATCGATGACGTGAATAAACACCATTAGCTGGTTATAGGTAATACATCATAATAAATGATTGATAATCGTTTTCGCAGTTTGCGGTGGTAGGCTTATAGCCACGAACAACGTGAAACATTTTTACTCGCATTCCAACTACGGCGATCTAAACTACGACAGTGACGCTACGTGCGAATGGACCATCGAAGCCAAAGCCAACATGAACGTGCACTTGACGTTCTTGACTTTTGAACTGGAAGACGAAAAGGATTGCATGTACGATTACGTGGAAGTGTGGAGCAGTTTGGATACGAGTGGACCGTTCTTCGGAAAATTCTGCGGACCAACCGTCAGTATATGATAATATTAAAATAACGTTCGGTCATGAAATAATTATATTACTTATATTATTTACGATCACGATAAGTAGAATTATATAAATAAAACATAAACCGCACGGTAGTTGTTGTTGTCAATAAAATTTTAGCAAAAATCTTTTTTAATGGTTAGAACTTAAGCACATATTTAGAAATAGAAAAAACTGTACCAATAGTTAGTTTTTTTTGTATATTATGCCAATAACGTAGTTAATTGATACACGTCCTATATGGAGTTACTTAATTTTGACCTATCCCACTCCAAACCACCTGACCCAACCAAACCAGGCCTAACCAGCGTTTTTTCATTTTCAGAACCCGACGGATGTGATATCCACTAACGACGCTCTGTTGCTCCGGTTCAAGACAGACAGCACTATCGTGAGCAAAGGATTCTCCGCGTCGTACATAGCCGTAGAGTCGATGAACCCCAGCGTCGAGTATTCGTCACTAACTGACGAAGACGACGTCGACTTGGCTTATCACAAGACCAAAAAGAACAAGAAGAAAAAGAACAAATCGTCACCACCGTCGTCAAACCAGACGAATGGCAATGCAGACAACGATGATGACGACGACAACGACGGTGGAGGCGGTGGTGATGAAGACGACGATGACGAAGACGACGAGGACGAAGACATGCTTGCCGTCAAGAGTCCGTAATGGAGATAATATATGACATTATAATATATATAAACCTAGTAACCCGGCGACGACGGACGGTTAAGAAATTAAAAAAAAAATACTTAAAAAGAAGCAAAACATTAGTTTATTATAATAATTATTCAGTATAGCGATTTCTAGAATATTACCTCTATGAGACCCCTATTTATAATAATTATTATTATCGTGCATGTAACGGGTGCCCGTTGTATATTATATTGTTCTTCGGATCATAAAAAAAAACTGCACTGCAGTCCGCGAGTCGTGTAACATTATGTGCCAAATAGAAAACGATCGACTCGCCGTGTCATACATATAATTATATAATAATACGTATCGATGTCGTACACGATTTTATTAAGTCGTTTTCGTGATCTCATATAATATATTATATGTTTGATATATGATATACGCGCTCCTCGAACTCTACGATTATAATGTCCAGTCTTAGACACACCCGTCGAAATTGTCACCAGTTTGATAATAATATTATTATTGAGTTTGTTATAATAATATCATATCGAATCGTACGATTCCCCCCCTCTCCCACCCCCGTTACGCAGACCGATCGATCTCGAAGCGGTTTCAATTATTTTTTTATTATTTTTTAATATTATTACTATTATATTTTACTCGTTTTACTTTTGTATACGTTTCGATATTTTTTTATTGACGGTCGGTACCAGTATTTTCTTTTTTTGTTTTTTAAATTCGTTTTTCCCGACACGTTCACATACGATACCTATACCAGAGCTCGCGCATATTATACCGCCCGCGGTATTAGCTGGTGTGTCAATGATAGTATTACCACGTTCGGACGAGATTCCTATACCTACCTATTATGATGTTATAATAATAATTATTATACATGTATGTGAAACAAAACGATTCGCGATCGTCGAATGCGAATTATATACCTACGACGACGATGCCACGCGATTGCCAATGATGGAATTAATATATTATTATCATGAAAGCGCATCGAGATGGTCGGTGTATAGCGATGCGGATAGCCATATAGCAGGACCCACCCCGCAAAGTCGTACCTACGCGTTAAATTGCATAATTTTTTTTATTTAATCGTAAAGTTTAAAAACTCCGCCTGTGTGTTGTTTTAATGTGACTTAAAAATAATATCATTGTACCAATATTATAATTTTACTATTATTATTATTATTATTATTATTACTATCATTATTCAAACGAAAATGTTGATCATCGTTTATAACCAATAAAAAAAAAAAATAAACAATAATTCTCGTGTGTTTTGAACGTCGCGTTGTATTTGGATCTTGTGTAAACAATATAACGCTCAACAATAATTATTGTTATCAATTTTGTTTCTCGCAAAGGTCAGAAATCTTTTAAAAATCGTATTTGTTTTATAGGTATCTACTGTTGTCAGTGTATTATATTATGTGTAATGTGTATAGTGTTGACACATTGTATTTGTTTTCGATAAAGGTCAGCAGCTGTTGTTCGCAAGAGAAAGAAAAACACAAGTTTACAGGTGTACATAACATTTCGGCGTACTATTGGTGAAAATGCCGATCGATAGATTTTCATTGTTACAGTAACTTATGGACAACATATACATAATTAGTCATTACATATTACAATAACTATTAATGAGCATTAACCCCTTTGCGCCAAAATAAAAAAAGGTATGTTTTATTCCAAATACCTATTTGTGCTAAATTTACCTGCGTAAGCCCAGCGTCTAGGTTTAATTTTGATGTTTTAGATACGGCATACTTTAAATTGTACATGCTATTAATAGTATATTTTTATTCTTAACATTAAAATGGTTACTATTGAAGCCGAAATAGTGATTTTATAATTTTATATAGTTAATAGAAAACACATTTTTTATATTGAATTATAATAAACTAATATATTATTGTAATATAATAATTAATCACACAACTTTTTAAAATCGTAGTCGATAATTTGGATTTTAAAAATATGATTATTAATAATTAACATTTTTTTCAATCTTTTTATGAAATAATTTACAAAACTTTGAAATCTACAGACTTATAAAAACAGCTTTATTTTAAGCAATAACATGTGTCATTTATTTAAATATTTATCACACCAAGTCGTAATTGTAAACTGCGGAAGCAGGTAAATTTTTCACAAATGGGCTGCCAGAAAAAATTTTTTTCTGGCGCATATTGATAACTCCAATATCAATATCACGTGGCTACTGTGATAACGAATAAATAAAGTAAAGGTAAGGTCTGGGTATTTGGTTCTATATTGTTAAACACAACGGATGCGATAATAATGATGGTGTACACTTTGAACTTTGTTTGCACAAGTAAATATTGAAGAGTCGTCACGCGACAGAGTTGACACTGTGGAAATTAATATCACATTATTATATAAATCATGTTCAGATTGTCCGCACACGCTTATATACACGTTTTTGTATAATATCAGCTACCAAGTTTTATACCCGTGACTCGTCCATGAATGTCGCGAAGTGGAGGTCAAAAGGACCATGACAAATGAAGGCGTTTTTGACCTTTGAAAATATTGTGGATGTTATAAAAAAAAAAAACCGTAGATAATATTAACGATGCATATTAAACAATAGGTAAATTATTTTGATAAAGGCACATTTACTTTTTTTTTAAATCTATTTGATTTTCATTTGTTTGTTTATTATACGTCTAAAATTATGATTTAAAATTCACTTTTATTATTTAATAACTATATATTTCATATTGTGCCATAAGTCATTGATTATAAATAGTAGTTACACTGTACCAAAAAGTTAGAAAAATAACTCGTTCATAAATATAGGAGAGTAGTAACCTAACCTGTATAGATTTCAATTTTTGAAACACTTACCTATTTTATTGTCACTTGGATTTGAAGAGTTTTAATCTGAATCTCATGAAATGGTAAACGTTTTAATTGTTTTGTCCTTCTTATATATATATATTTTATCATATTAATATACATTATATTGTTATGTTGTGTAGTGTTTGCGTTATCGACCGAAGTTAGGTTTATTATCGTCAACCCTGTTAGCCGCTAACATGCGAAAAATATCGCAGCGACCGACTTCAAATGGCTCCGTTTCTACTTTAATCAACATTCAGTTCGAATGAAGCAATTTTTAAATTCAAAATTTAGTTTAATGGTTGCAATTTTAAAATTAAAAATTCACATACAGGCTACGGCACGTGAAAACGAAGTTTTAAGATTCGTTGCGAAATATCGTTGTACTACACACGCAAGACGTAAATGACGTAAACTATATTTATGAGTAATTATATCGTTGCACTGCTGTTGCAGTTTTAACTGTCTCAACTTTTAAGCGTACAAGTATTCTCGTATGGTGCAAATAATAATTAAGAATTATTAAGAATACATTTAAAAACAATTGTAGACTAAGTTATATGTTTTATTAATAATTGTAATGATAACTTTTTTAGTTTGAATGAAAATAACCTACACTTTAATAATAAGTGTAAAGTTTGAATTATAACAAAGTACTTACGTATTGAATATTATCGAGACTTTTAGTGTAGAAAAAATAAAACCAGACATGGAGCTCATAATCGAAATGTATATGTATCACCATATCGGTATTACTCAAAAATTTAAAATATTAATCAGCCATTAGAGTATACAAAGTAGGTATAAACAATTGAAAGGTTATGTGGTTAGACTTGCCATAAGTGCAGGCCTCCAATCAAAAACTCTATATTATATCGTCCATGTTTAATGTTTTATAAAATACAGCGCACTGTAACTACCTGAGATCTCGCTACTCATAGTAACCACAATTTAGTTCAATAGAAACATGGAATATATCAAATTAAATAAGCCATTCAACATTTTAGTCTAACCACTCTAACTTCATTGAGGATCGGAACTCTTTACATTATACATAAAAAAGAGCAATTTTTCTCAAAAAAAAAAAAAAAATGATGAAGAACGAAAAACATTTTTTTTCATTATAAATTGCTTATGAAAAAACCTATATTTAATTTTCAAGCTCTAACTATAACAATTTGAAAAATGTATACACTTTTAACTACAAACTTTGAACTTTACTTCAACATTTTTATCAAATATTCTTGAAAACGAACTTAATAAACTCTCCAATTATTCAGAAAATACTGGGATTTTTTTTGCTTTTTACATCTCGAAGTACCAACTAAATTCACTTTCCTCTCAAAAAAAGATGCTGGAGTGGAAAATCGAAGCATTTTTTTATGCTATATAAAGTTTCTTTAGACACAAAAAAAAACACATAATTGTAAAATCAATACATTCTTTGCTCCGCTCTGTAGAATCTAAAACGTTTTAGGAATTTAGTTAATACTTTAACATTTTATTTAATAATAATAAATAGCAGCGCATTTTTTTCAATTTAAGGAGTAAGTAAATTTTAACATACAATATAAATTGTATAAAAATTAAGTAAATTTAGAAAATTAGTCCAAAAATTAGTATAATGTTGAATACATAAAACAAATATAAACATTATTATCATACATTGCGCATTGTTGTAGACGGCTGCCTATATCGCGTGTTGGTCGTTGGACACTTCCAAAATATTATGTCAATGAGTAAGGTATCTACTTAACTTGAATCACAGATTGCCATCTCTGCTTAAGTTCACTGAAATCATCGCGATTTTCGATCTTCGTAAAATCTATAAAAGTGTGAGCAAAACATCCCGCTTGTTAATATTATCATTATTATTTTTTATTATTAATATTATTACTTTTATTTTTATTAATATTACTTGTACTATATTATTCGTACTCGTGACGGCTAGGATGACTTGTATTGCATCAGACCGTAACTACAGTCGAAACATGTATACTGCGCACATATAGAATAACATTGTGATAATATTACGTTATTTTGATCGTTCGAAAACCGATAATATAATATGACTACCTATTTGACGGTCCTCGGGCCAAACTGTCGTCCACACACAGCCGCGGGAAAGTGGAATGGTCACGTGCAACTGCACAAAATAAAAATCGAGAAAAAACAAACGGACGTACGTACGCATATTTAATATATTATTATACTATAATATTATTATGTTTTTGTTTCATCGATGGCCCGCTGTAGTATTAGTAGCTGATTAGTATGCGTCGACTATCATAGTTTTGTTATCAAACGATCGGCGTACTTATACATAATATATGTATTGTGTATAATATAATATATATGTACACACACACTCGTGTGCGTGTGTGAGTATTATAAATTATGATATTTGAGAAATCGAGATTCGAGTCGCAGTTTTCGATGTTGGATAATCACGACGATAATATAATATAATAATGTCATTATCACGTACAATGAATAAATTACTATCAGTGCTGTTTTGGAGCGTAAACCGGTGGGGTGGGGGTATTCTGTGTATACACATTCGCTTTTTGTGAATTAGCATATAGGTGCACTTTAAAAATAGTAAAAATACGCACATATTTTATCGTATACCTTAACTGTTTAAAAACTAAGCAATCCTATACCTACTTTATTATTATTTACTTTGTTAATCATCTAAAAGCTATTACAGTGTAACGAATAATTAAAGGAATTGCAAACCTCATATATTTTTATCGCAACAACCTAAGCGGCTGATAAAAGCTGAGGTAGGTACTTATATGGTGGTTCGATTTTGAAAATGTAAGAATGTTTCCTATACAGTTAATCATCGTCCATCACCGACGACAGTGATTATCGCAGTTATTTTGATAAAAATATGTTCTAGTTGCAGCCACCACAGAATACCTAATAATAACTGCCAAGAGAATTGTCAAGTAACATGTTATAAAATGTTAAATCTGACCTGTGAAAAAGTATTGTTAATACTTAGGTAAATAAATAAAAATGTACAAAACTGGGTAATAAAAAAAATGTATTTTACAATAATATACTACACAGTATTATGATACTATAACCATAATATAAACTACAGTTTAGGCTCAATGTTGATCAGTCATCAGTCAGGACGCGTTTGATTATACATACAAGGAGTTTCAAAAATTATAAACCTGTTTACCAACTTACCTGGTATCATCAGTGGTACAAAGACTTTATCTTTGACATAGCCGTATAGAAAGAATAGTCATATGGCGTGATGTCTGTGGGCCAAGAACTGAGATACTGGACCCGCATGATCAAGTGCACGACCCATCCAGAGTTGTGGATAGTGACGATTTAGGAAGCTCAGTGAAACCCCCGGTGCCGACGTGGAGGAGTTCGAATACATCTTCGGTGTTGTTCGCGTGTACGGGTGCGGTGGCCAAGTTTAACTTTTGTGGAAATGTAAGGATTCGTTAAATACAATATTCACTTTTTCTGTTCGGGTTTTGAACAAAAAGTTACAGTAGGTAGCAATTGAAAATCGATGAAACTCTTTGTATACACATAGATGTGCTGTCCCTCGACACTATGACGATTATTTTCCAAAACAAATCGATTGAAAATGTTGAACATATCTTATGAAAAACGCTGTCGGATATTAGAACACGATGACCGTGGCCAATCCGTGGTACACCCGGTATATAAGTATCTACGTACGTTTACGTATATCGTTAACACAGCAAAACTTGCTTGGAAAGTTTCGCGCTTGTATACCCGAGTGTACCTACGCGCGTTGCGATGATCGATTGGAAACCGGATGTACGACACGACGGCCGCGGCGGAGCGGATATTATATTACTATTATTACTATTTTATCGGCTATAGGTTCACTTTTGGGCGTGTTAGAGGAATTCTTCTTTTGTGTGTTCCGAGAAAGTCGTAAAGCGTATAAACGAATAAGCGACAAACTCAAACAAAAAAAAAAAAACCGCTAAATTTCGTTTGCGCCTCCGACACTCGAACCGGACCCATTCCTCTGCACTTCCTTCCGGTTACCGGGATCTGCTGAAGTCCAATTAACAACAATTAATATTATTATTATTATTATTATTATTATTATTATTAATAAGATACCTATCGAAACGCGATGATTAATGATGAAATGATGATGGTAATAATACGCGTCTTTATCGGCATTCAATAATAACATTATATTATAGTAATAATATAATGCGACGGCAAACGTTCGATATAATATTAATGATATATATATATAAAGGCGTGTATATTAATTATTACTATGGTGTGTACGATAATGTTATACTCACTGTGCGCACCCTCCCTGGTGACCCACCCACGATCGAAATCAGTTGATGTATAAATTATAACGTATGCGATATGTACATAAGGCCCGCGGTCAAAACCGCGGAATTTAACTCTGGTACATATAATAATAACACACGTGTATCATAATATAATATGGGTGTGCGCTGCAAAACACATAACTACCGATGAAATTATAATTACTATTATTATTAAAGTATTATTATATCATTATAATACACATCCAGAATATCGTCCTCGTTGGTGTGATGATTAAATTCAAAATATAAAAAGCATATAACCATACACATACACGTCAGTCCGTCAAACACAGTTGTATATAAAATGAATAATGCGATTTAACTAGGGATGGAAAATGTTTTTGAACAAAAAAAAAATCAAAATTAAAACAAAGACGAAAAGCAACTGTTGAAAGATAACAAAAGCCGAAAATATATAAATACAAAAATCAATTATACCAAAATAAAATAATAATTTTGATATCGAAAAATTGGTAATCCTAATAACTAATTCATGACCCAGTTAAGTAAAGTTTTAATGTTTCAATGCGTATAAGGGTAACGTTTTGATTTTTTATTAAATGTATTTTTATATAATGTTAAACTTTTGAGTACAAGATTATCTTTATTTTTTACCAGAACTAGTGCTTCTAATAAATTTTTAAATTTGAAGGCATTTTAATTTTTAATTTTCATATGTATTGTAACAAACCAAATCATTAAAAACGTATTTTTTTTTTAATCGATAATCAAAAAATGAAAAACATTTCCATCCCTGAATTTTACAGTTAGGAGGGACGAATTGATAATTGTTTTCAGAAACTAATTGACCCACATTCCACAATATGTTTTCCGATTTTTTGTAAATAAAAAGTTCTTCAATATTTCAGTGTGCCAAAAATAATTATTCAATGGCGCATAATATAGTGACCAAATATATAGTAGATAGCTATACAAGTAAATAGTTCATAAATTAAACTTATAAATTTATAATTTCAGACAGTAATGCAAAGCGTAATTCCTAAAATACCAAATGTATTGGATTATTTCAAATGGTTTATTTAAAAACATCTGTCTCTTGATTTATCTAAGCTACCCGAGAATTAATTTACTTTAATTTTATATTGTTCGATAATTTCGAACCTATAAAATATTTTTATTATTGGCTACCTATAAAAGCTTCCAATTTATCTTTATTTAGCGAATTTTGCAAGAGAGTATAACAGCTTAACAAAACGAAAATGAGCATTGGTACCAGCAGTGACCTTAAATTGAATTAACTCTACTCCTGAATTGAAATAAAAGTGTACATTTTACCTGAATTTAAGAAACCTTAATATAAGAACCTATCCAATTTTATTATCCATGATATATATTGCAGATATTCATCATTATAAATCTTATAGTTTAGTAAAACTTAAAATCTCAGCAAACATCATAGTTATTACACAATTTGTTTTTTTGGTAATAATTTTTATAAATGTTTGTATCATTGAAATCGAAAATATTATCATATTGGAGGTTTTTAATGTCAATCAAGTTTTAATAACTGTCGCTGTTACTGACTTTTTAATTTGAGCTCAACTGAACTTGACATTTTATAATGTAAACTATTATAACTAAAATGATATATTTGTTTATCTTTAAAATTGTAAGCAGAGTTAAGTTGGGTAATTATTATGTAATGAATTTTCCAGAAATCCATTTGTAATACTATCAAAACTAGAAGATGACAAAAACACGAAATATAAATATATTTTATTATTTGATATAATAATCTGTCCTCCGTGCTATCAACATACGTATAGCTAAATAGTATTCTAAACGTCCCTTACAGCCATCACAGTAGGCGGGTTACAGGCAGTTACATATATAATTTAGGAATCGGAAATTATAGGAGCCAAAAGGTCAAAATGTGTATTATTATATAATAAGCATAGAGAAAAGTAAAATATGTATATTGCATGATAATTATTTAAAGTTCTGAAAAAACATCTAATGCTGTTATTTATATTTGCACTAAAATAAATGGAAAATATGGAAAAATAAATTATTAATATTTAAAATATCTCCGAAAACTGTTTGGAATTTTGATATTTCATTGGACTTAAAAATGCTTTATACTAACACCTATATATTGGACGAGACTATACTTCAGAATATTAGAGTAAAGATTAAAATGCGATATGCACCGTCACGTTGTCATTAAATTAATAGTCCACCGCACCGATAGCAATAAATACATAGGTACGTTAAAACAAATTAAGTTTTATATCCTATATCATTAATATTACATCATAGATAAAACTCACAGGGAAAGAAAGAAAAAATCAATTTTTTTCTAGAAAATATTAAAATGCATGAAAATCAAGAACTATAACATTTTCCCTAAAATTGACAAAGTATGCATTTTTAATTTTTGATTTTTAATTTCACCATTGTATTGCATGCATTTTTAGCTTGGTGTGCTATAAATCGAGAGCATATTTTGTAATGATATGAAACTCTTACAACCCCTGAGTCCTATACTAATAAGTCATAACATTATTATTTTTTTTAAATAATTACGTATAATTTTATTGGGATGGGTAACGCTTTAGAAAATGTCGTGGAAACAGAAATCAACAATAATTAAATAATTAAAAACTAGATTAAATTCCTCATCAACCAGGTATTTTTCACTGCACTATACCAAAAAACATAATCAATTTTCCTTTCAGATGAAAAGTGTTAGCATATTGTAGTATTGTACACACTTACAATATATACGAATTTTTTAATGGATCAGTCGCATAAATGTGTTTGGTGAATTTGATTGATTTGTTTAATGAGTAACTCTAAATATTGTGGTTGAATATTTTATTAAATGTGGTTTTACCGAAAATCATATCATTGTGTTGTGATATAAATATATCATTCTAAAGTACCACATCGGGCATAGGTGTGAGCAGACTCTTAGTTCCTGAGAGCGGAGCACAAGAATTTTGAGACCCAAAAGGTACAGACATTTTTTTTAAATAAACTTTTTAA